AGAGCCTTCAGAGGGAGCACGGCCCCTCTGATCCCTTGATTCTGGATGTCTCTCCTGCAGAACAACAGAATAAGCTTATTCTCAGCCCCCCAGTTTGTGGTGACTTGTGACAGCAGCCCTGGGAGACTGACACTTAGAGACCGAGGGGGTGCGGTGGTGCTCAGCACCCGGGGTCCAAGCCCCACTGTGCCTCCAGAGCTCCAACCTTCACATTTATGACATGGCTGTGCCAGACGCCTCATCGCCCAGGCCCTATTTAGAGTGTGTCAATTTTGACTCCCTAAATATATAGAAAACTATGTGTTTAAAGGCAAGGAACAACCAATTCCTTAATTCCTATATCTGTTAAGTACAAGCGACAGTAACTACCCATCCGGTGTCCAGGAGGACTGACGAGGAAACAACGTGAGCTCTTAGCACAGGCGTGGCATGGGGAAGCGTGTGGTAGACGTCCCTGTTTACATGACTTTCCTGCCCCATCCAATGGGTGGAGTGCTCGCTGCATCATATGCCAGACCGTTCTGCCTCCTTCATGGACATCAGCCACCCTCTGAGGGGACACCACCTCTTTCTCCAGCTGGGGAAATGGGCCTCGGGGATGGGCCCAGAGATGGTGGAGGCTGCAGCAGAATTCCACACAGCACTTATGTGCTCCCACCAAGGGACGCCCCACCTTCTTCCCTCCCTGGGAGCATCTAGCTTGTTCCTGGGTAAACAGTAGTTACTCATTAAGTGCATCGTGTTTGATATTGCCGTGATCAGAGTGGTGGTGAGGAAATAGAGTGATCTTTCTGTTCCTCAAGGCCTGGGCCAACAAAGCCCCTTCTTTAAGGAATTGCTGAGGTTTATTTGTTTGTTTTCTGTTAGGAAGATTCTCCCTGAGCTAACATCTGTACCCACCTTCCTCTACTTTGCATGTGGGATGCCTCCACAGCATGGCTGCTGAGTAGGGTAGGTCCACACCTGGGATCTGAACCTGTGAATCCAGGCCTCCAAAGCAGAGCGTGTGGAACATCAACTAGTCAGCCACGGGGCCAGCCCCCTGAGATTTTTTTTTTTTATTTTCCCATTTCAGCCCCAAATTACACAGATCATTAAAGGAGAGCCAAGCCCAGATTTCTGAGCTCAGCTGTGGTGGGTTTTGCGTCAGCTGGGTACACAGTGGTCTGGATGTCTCTCTTATTATTTACCTGGCTCCTGAGCCAGAGGGCATGGGAGCAGCCTTGAGCTGGAAGGTAGAGCCCTGCTTACTTCTGAGCTGGTCGGGACCATGGTCTGTGACATTCAAAGGGTGGAGCTCTGCCACAGACTGTGGTTTGTGGGAGTGGGGCTCAGAGCACGTCTGCAAGGGTATCAGTCCTCATTGTCACTGGGTCTGCTCACAGCTGCCCCGAGCTTTGGCAGCCCTCTGGGTGAGCCCCTGGGGAAGAATACCCAGGGCCACAAGGTGGACATCGGGGGGTGGTCAGGTCGCACTGCAGCTCTATAGGCGCCCACTTCCCATCTCTCAGTGCAGAATCCAGAGCTGTGCCTGCTTCTTTCCATCTAAGCATCTCGGCTCCTCCCATTCAGCCCACCGGGGAAGGCTTAGCCCTCTCTGTGCCCCCAGACAGCTTCGAGCCCCGTCCCCGCCAGGTGCAGCTTCCCCCGTTTCGGTGCTGAAGAGGCCTCACACAGGCTGCCCCCTGGGAGAGCCGACCTTTGTACAGTTCTCTCGCTGTGGAGGGGCATGAAGATGCTGCCCGCGCAGGGGTAGGGCTCTGCCCCAACCGTGGTGCCGTGTTGGGAGTGGCTGAGGCCAGTTCCGCAAAGGCCATGCCACCCTGCCACGCAGCTGGATCCCTGAGAGGAAGAAGCCTCCACAGAGACAGTCGGAGGGAGGGACTGGTGTTCAGCAGACTCTTGGGAGCTCTGACCTTTCCATGGGTCACAGGCGGGGGCAGCGGCCAGGGTCGGGGTCAGGGTGAGTCTCGGGCTGGCGCCCCTGCTGCTGTCCACCAGCAAACACCAACTGGCCATGAATACCTGTCCCTTCTCTGAAGCCACCAAGTGCCAGGTCAGTCACCCCGAACGTGACATGTGAAGGTGACGAGCATCGTTCAGAGTCCCCCTCCACCCTTGCAGGCGGTGCGACCTTGGGCATTAGAGAAAAGCACTGTTCTCAGCCCCCACATGTAGCCTGGGGTGAGGTCGGGACCTGGTGTGCAGGGTTGTTGTAGAGATTAGACTAAATGATGTGCATGATCCAAATAGCATAAGGTTCAAGACATAGCTGACCCTAAAATATAGTCGCTATTGTTGTTACCATTACTTAAGAAAAAAATGAACCAGAAAGCTCAGAGCACTCTCAGGTGGCTCCTGCCCCAGAGCCTGTACAGATGGGAGGGGCATGCAGGACCCCGCCTTCTATCACCTGCTCCCCAGAGCTGGGGACAGTGGGTTCAAAGACCAGGGACTCTCCAAGGTCACCCACGTCTGAGCGCCAGGAAGCTCCACCCTGAGCAGGAGAGCTGAGTTCTTGGCGGAAGACAGAGTGCCGTCTATTTGTCTGTTTACACACAGTCCCTTCTGCTCAGGGCACTTACAGGAGCCGTTGTCATCGGTCTCTCCCTCTTGCTGCCATTACTGCATCCTTACAGATCAGAACCTGTTTCCCATATGGAACGTGCAAGACTCACGTCGTCTAGCAGAGTACTCATCTGTGCATATAGACTGCAGTCTCTTCATTAGCTGGGGAGGGGGAGGGAGCGAAAGCAGACACAAAGGAGCCACAGTCAAAACAAAGCTGCAGTCTCCATTTTTAGAGAGCGGGTGAGGCTGCAAGAGGCACCTGGTGCTTAATCAGGTCCCGGGGGGGCTGGCAGTTAGGGCAGCCTGTGTGGTGATTGGTGCTAATTGCTGCCCGTCCTCACCCCATCTCTGCCTACTGCTCACCCCCACCCCTTTCCCCAAGCCCGGGTGCGAATATTTAGAGCATGTGTTCCTCATCCAACACTCGCCCTGTCCTGGACAGGTTCCCACCCACCACAGGGGGGATAGACATTAAGCAAACACGTGTGTGCATGCACACACACACACACAATACACTGACACATGCAGATATGAACACATACATACACACAAAGACACAAAAACTCATCGACACACACATACATATGTTGACACACATATACATGCACAATACTTTGACACACACAGGTGCTCACACATGCATAGACACAATCACAAAAACACATTGACACACATGTACATAAACACACACATAGACATGCACAGATGTTCACAGACACACAGACATACATTGACATACACACATACACACACATTCACACACCCCAGAGGGGCTCTGCGTTGTGAGACAGGAGATGTTATGGAACAGTCTGTGTCCCCCAAATTCACGTGTTGAATCCTGACCCCCAGCACCAGTGACTGTGGCTCTAGGTGGAAACAGGGTCTTTAAGGAGATAATTAAGGTTAAAATGAGACTGTCAGGCTGGGGCCTGATCCAATAGGATAGGTGTCCTCACAGGGAGGGGAGACCAAGACACAGACAAGCACGGGGGGAAGACCAGTTGAGGACATAGGGAGGAGACAGCGTCCACAAGCCGCAGAGAGAGGCCTCGGAGGAACCAGCCCTGCTGACTCCTTGGTCTCAGGCGTCCAGCCTCCAGGACTGTGAGAGAGAAATGTCTGCTGTGTACACCACTGAGTCTGTGGAACTGTGTTATGGCAGCCCGAGCAGACTAATACAAGAGGTGTCACGGACCGAATGTTTGCATCCTCCCAAAATTCAGGTGTGAAGGCCGAACCCCCAGTGCGATGGTATAGGAGGCGGGGCCTCTGGAACGTGACCAGATGAGGGGGTCTTATGTGGATGGGGCTCCATGACAGGATTAGCACCCTCACAAGGAGACACCAGAACTCCCTCTCATCACATGAGGACACAGCAAGAAGGCTGTCAGCAAGCCAGGAAGGGCCCTCACCAGGAACGGAGTCAGCCGGCCCCTTGGTCTGGGACTGCCGGCCTCCAGAACCGTGAGAAACAGACCTCTGGTGCAGCACCCAGCCTGTGCTGCTCTGTGTGGCCACTGAGCTGACTGAGAGGAACAGCTTGCCCATTAGCTGGGACACAGAAACAGGAGTCACTGTCATGTGGAGAGGGCTGGAGGAAGGCTTCTTAGAGGGGACAGTCCAATTGGCCCTTGGAGAGACACAGGGACTCTGTCAGGCAGTGAGAGCCACACCTCTCCGCAGGGGATGGCAGGTTGGAAAGACAGAGAGACATCGATGGTGCTGCCTCTGAAAGCCGTGCACTCCAGGTGGAAGAGGGCCCAGTGGGGCCGGGGGCGATGCTGGATGCCACCCTGCCCTTTGTCTCAATCGTGGCACAGGGCCTGCCCAGGGCTCATCACCTTGTGGAGGGTGAACTGGGCAGGGTTTGGCCAAAAGGAGCAGGATCTCGTAGGAGACTGGTTATACTGTGGGCTGGGGTCTTCTCTCCAACCTATGGGCATCTGTGATGTGGGTGCCCCATGATGTGGGCACTCTGTGATGTGGACACCCATGACATAGGCATCCTGTGATTTGGACTCATGTGACATGGACACCCCGTGATAGGGGCATTCCGTGAGGTGGGTACCACCTGATGTGGGTACCCCATGATGTGGGCACCATGTTAGGAGGGCACCGATGAGGTGCGAACTCCATGAGGTGGACACCCATGATGTGAGCACCCCTGATGTGGGCACTAGTGATATGAGCACCTGTGATGTACCCATTATGTGACCACCTGTGATATGGACACCCATCATGTGGGCACCTGTCATGTGGGCACCTGTGATGTAGGCACCCGTGATGTGAGGACCCATGATGTGAGCACCCCTTGTGGTTCCCGTGCCAGAGTCAGCTCCTTTAGGAAAGACAGGTGGTCGCATCATGACTTTTAAAGGAAAATTTTCAAATGCTTACACCAAGTCAGAAAAAACATGGTCTCACGAAAATAAGGTGATAAATTTGTCTCATTTTTTTAACCTGAGGATATTTTTTGTTCAATTAACTGTAAATTTTGACGTCATTATTGAACAATAAGGTCATTTTTCCGTCGCGTTCCTTGAGACCCCTGCTTCCACAGCAGAGCTCCCTGGGGCGGCGGGTGGGCTGTTTTGCTGATGTGCAGATGTAGGTTGGATCTGTGCATGCGGCACGGCTTTCCGCCAATTTGCAGCTTATAAATAAATGAGCCTGATTCTTCTTTGTACGAGGCTAAGGATTTGCCATTCACCATCCTCTGTAATCAATTCACGGCATGTGGGGCGTGATGGCTGTGGGGACTAGCACTGGGGTGGCACAGAGGGAGTGCGAGGCCAAGAGCCAGGGGACTGCAGAGCCCTTCACCCTGAGTCCCTCCACGGTGAGCCTGGGTTCTGGGCTGTAGAGTGGGGAGGGGTCTAGCTTCCGGTACACCTGGAAGCCTGGGGAGTTTGCAGGAAACTCAGTCCCCTGCAGACCTGCAAGATCAGAGCAGGGTCCCTCCAGGGCTGTCAAGTGACGGTGGGGCGGCAGGGCTGAGCGATGTCCAATGTTCACCGACACGCGGTAAACAGACAGGCAGAGGCCGGTTCCTTCAACAGATGCAGGTTATTGCCACATGCACTTGGCGCTACTCTGTCCAAACACAGCATTAAAACATCCTTAATGAACTGGCTTTGCCAGGCCTCGAAGTCATCATCGTGGGAGTGAGTTGGACTGTTCAGGCCGGTATTCTCAGGTGAGCTTCTGGAGAAGTAGGCTGCATGTCCACCCAACCTGCCACCCACCCGCTTGGAGACCACAGGCAATGGACCTGGGCCCCCGGGGCCTTGGCCTCCTAGGTTGTAACTGGGACCTGACCTGAAAGCTCGTGAAGACCAGGTGGATACCACAGGCCCAGGTTTCTGGGCCGATTCTGCAGGGACCTCAGACAGTTCCTTCTCATCACTTCTATGCAGCATGCGAAAATCTTTCATAGGTTACTTTTTGTTTCTTGACAAAAACATTACAGGAAAAATATCATCTGGTTGTTTGAGTTTTCCTATTGTTTTCCTATAAGATGTATTTTCTCTTATTCTTGTCAATCTAGTATGAAATATCAATGATTTAATAAATATTTGTGGAATAAATTTTTTCTTGCTACCACTCCTGTTGAAGCTTATTCCAAACGACCACCTTGCAGAATCAGCTAAGTGTTGCTTAGGTACAAGTCACCACGTTAACACAAGATGCTGCTCTGCACTGGGAACTTCTGATCCTCGACTCCGGGAAAGAAGATGGCCTGGCGCTTTTCGGTTGAACTCTGCGAATTCCCACCGTGTGCGGACGTCGTTTTGATTTTACCTGCTGCCCTAGGGCGCTGTCTTTGCCTCTGTCGTGCTGAACACCTCGGCGACAATAGAGCTGATGACCGGGTCTTATTCTCAAACAAATGAGCTGATGGTGGAGGAGGTGGGCCCAGGGTGAGGGGACCCCCAGGGTGAGGGGACCTAGTGCTGAATGAGGGACATCAGTGAGTCTGACAAGGAAAAGCAGGCCTGGGGGTTGGGACAGAGTGCTGACCCTTAAAGCGAGGTGGGCAGCGTGGTCTTCAGGAGAAGTAACAGGGGTCCGGATGGATGGACTCTGCCTTCCCAATAGAGAAGCACCAGACCCCTCGGCCCTCCCAGGTGCACAGCGATCCTGCACCCAGTCCTACCCTCCCTGCCTGGAGCTCTGCACCTTCATTTCTCGTTGCCTCTCTCTTTACCTGTTGTTTCGACCACGCCAGGTTGCTCTGTGGGACGGAGGTGTCTCCAGCAGCAGAGGAACATAAGGGCCCTCCAGCCTCCTCTGCTCTTCGACCTACAGGTACCCTCCACGTGTCCACTCTGTGACCGGCAGCGTTCTAGACACCAGCAATTCAGTGAGCGAGATAAGATTCCATAAAGCTCACTTTCCAATAGGACTGTCAGATAGAAGAAGGGATAAAATACATTTAAAACATCACATCTACTTCTGATAAATGCTATGATGACAATAAAATGATTGACGTGAAGCAGGCGTTTGTTTAAACCAGAGGGCGTAGAAGTTACCTCTGAGGATATGGCCTCTGACTTGACACCAGCCTGCCTGGAGGGAGGAAATCTGGAGCAGGAGATACCTGGACAGAGGGACTGCTGGGCAAAGGTCTCATCTAGAAAGGAGCCCGGTCACTTCCACGCAGAGGCCCGTGTGGCTGGAGCTACATGGCAGGTGATACAATTGGGCATCCAGGAGAGTAATGGTGAAGCCACCGGGAGGGGCGGTGAGGAAGAGACTGGAGAGCCCAGGGGACTTGTTCAAGTGGATTATGATGTCCTTCTCCTTTCCCAGGTTCTCAGGGCCCCCCTGGGCTGGAACCAGGGCTTCTCTGGCCATCAGAGGAAAGTATCCACTTCTTAATGGCTGGCCCATCCTTGGGGAATTTGAAAGTTCAGGGGGACAGCAAGGTGGAGTCTGTACTGTACATAAGAAAGGGACATCTAGGACGAGTATTTCCGGCAGCTGTAGGCAATGATGGGGGAATCCAGGAGCATTTCCGGCTTGGGTCTCCACCTCCTGTCAGACTCACGTAGAGCCGGGCTGGCCTGTGGGGGGCAGCTCTTTGCTCACCAGGGCCTATCGTAAAGGTGAGCTTTGGGATATCAATTCTGTACCATCTCAGACTGTGCTGAGGGTGAAGACAGAGCCCTGGAGACGTGGGGAGATGCCACTTTGTTGATGTCACAACACAGATGGGAGGGGCTGGCTCACATGAGGAATCCTTGCTTTGGAAGCCCCCAGAGTGTGAGGGGAGCCCCAGGCAAGTCCCTCCCTGTGACAAGTGCCCTGAGGTAGGAGGGACTGAATCCAGAGGTTTCATGGCAGGCAGTGCAAGGCAGAACCAAGGCAGCACAGAGGCCTAACGGACTAAGAGGAAAACAGTCTGGGATTTGTGGGAACGTGATGGAACGCACAACTGCTCCCGGCTGTGGACGCAGCTGTTACAGCTCTCAGGTAAAGCCCCATCTTTGAATTTCGATGTCAAGCCAGTGTGCCTGCACACCAGTCCTCTCCCCGGATCCGGGCCTCATCCCTAGTCCCTCCCTGACTGCTGAGGAGGGCTGGTGGGTGGGGAGGGACACTGATGCAATCTGAGCTGGGAGGGCCAACAAGATTACCCAAGATCAGAGGGAAACCGTCACCTCCTGACCCTGTTACTGTGGCCCTCTGGGTCATTTCCTGGTCTGAGATGGAAAGTTTCAGCCAGAAAGTCAGAGTTCGTGGGAGCTTCCTAGAGCAAGCGTTTCAGAGGGCCCTCCAGGGAAGAGCAGGTTGAAGTTCACTCTGCACTCAGCTCGCACGCACACTCAGACACTGGCTGTTTTCCTGGGAGGAGAAAGGCCGTCTGTGGCTGGCAGGTGTGGGCTGGTGCAGAGCCATGTGGCCGTGATGATGGAGCCGAGGCCCCGCAGGCCGGGCGGCCGCTCTGGGCCGGCTCCCCCTCGAAGGCATGGCGGCAGCTGGTCCAGGCTCTGCACTCCAGACTGGCGACCAGTCAATAAGAGGACGTTGAGTTGTGGTTGTAACACTACCACCAAAATGTTCTAGGGACCAGTAGATGGAGAAGCGACGGCAATTAATAGGAATTTTACGGGAAATAGCATCAGGGATCAGATGTGGTCTCAAACCCCAAGTGCTATTGCGGCTGCGCTGGGAGGGTGAGTGGCTTCATGTGGGTTTCCGGTGGTGTGCACGGGCGCTGGGGTGTGTATGTCAAGGTTCTGACCACGCCCCGCCTGGGAGGAGGAGTTCCATAGCCGTGGTGAGAATGAGGAGCACTTGGCAGTGGGCCACAGACAGGGTCAGGTGCCCGGTGCAGAAAACCAGGCTCGGCTGCAGCAGGAAGCCCAGTACTACCCCGTGGACGAGGCCCTGCTGGACGGGCTTTAGAGAGAGAAGCACCCCCATGCCCAGCAAAATTCACGTTGGATTTGGAAGAAATGGAGGAAACCAGAAATGAACAGAAGGGTTGGGACAGACACAATGGGGCAGATGTGGGGACCTGGGGATGAGACAGGTACACCAGAGCCGTGAGACTGACGCACAGCAGGCAGGTTGCGGGGCGGGGGGGATGAGGGGGCAACGGGGCTGGCCAGACACTTTGGCTGCTCCGCACTCTGAGAGCCAAGGTGGGATGCCTCTGCCTGTGGACACTTTGCTCCCAGAAAAGACGGCTGTGGCTCCCTGGGCATCCCACAGCCACTCGCTCAGCAGTCCAGTGTCCAGTGTGCAAGGACAGGAGCAGGAGCAGGCTGACCACCACCAGGACTCCACGAGGAGGGAGCATGATGGGGGCTCCGTGCTGACAGTGGGCCCTTCCCCCGACGGGAGGAGATTCCTCCTCAGGCGGCTGGGGCTGGGAGGAGCCTTGCCCTCCCCTGCCACATCTGCAGATGGGGAACCGAGCTGTGGGGGGAGCCGATGTCTGGGCAGCTCCACGTAGAAAGGAGACCCCATGGGTGGTCTGGGGTGACCAGGACCATGGTGCCGTGCTGTAGGCTCCTTTCCAGAGCCCTCACGCTGTGCCTCTCATGCTCAGGGGAAGCAGCAGCGCAGACAAGGCCTTTGGCTCTTCTCCCTTCCTTTGCTTGCCCTCCTCTGCAGCACTTCCTCTTGGCTCCTCCCGGCCACCACCTTTCCCTGAGGCCACAGTTTCTGCAGCTGTGACCTCTGACTGCAGAGATGCCCTTTTCTCCGTCAAGGCTGCCTGCAGCTCTCCACAGGCACCGCACTTCCCCAGCTTTCTTCCTGGCACAGCCACTTGACCCTGTGTGGGTGGTGGGCATGGTCACTGTCAGGTGAGCAGTAGCAACAAGCCTCCTCCTCTGCCCCCGACTTACTCCCACGAATTGGACCTGGAGCCACAATTGGACACCTGTCCAGAAGTCCAGGGGCCCTGCAGCCTGACAGCGGCAGCTCTGGCCACCCGAGGTGCCTTCTGCTTCCCCACGGTCTCCGCACGCAGGACAGAGGGCAGGGAGCCCACAGGGGTGGAAGCAAAGTGGACGAACCCCATTCACTTCAGAGAGAGCCTGTGGCTCCCTCGCAGTGACAGAAAGGCTCAGCAATGGCTTCAGAGACCATGAAATGGGCATCTTTAGGAGAGACGGAGAGATCAAGGTCAATTCGGAAATGCCTCTGAGTGATCCGATTCCCAGACCTTTCCTATGAACGGAGAAAGGAAAACATGAACATACCAAACAGGCAGACACACGCCACACGCATGTGTACACCAGACACGCAGACACCACACACGTATATACACCAAACACGCAGACACACCATGCACACACACATATATACAACAAACACACACACATGAACCAAACACGCAGACACACACACGTATATACACCAAACATGAAAACATACCACAGACATGTGTATACACCAAACACAGACACACACACACATATATACACCAGACATGCCGACACCACACACATGTATACACCAAACACACAGACACACTATGTACACACACATGTATACACCAAACACGCAGACACACCATGCACACACACATATATACAACAAACACAGACACACACACACATATATACAACAGACACCACACACATGTATACACCAAACACACAGACACACCGTGCACTCACACATATATACACCAAACACGCAGACACACCATGCACACACACATATATACAACAAACACACACACATGAACCAAACACGCAGACACACACATGTATATACACCAAACATGAAAACATACCACAGACATGTGTACCAGACATGCACATATATGCACCAGACACACACACACACCAGACACACACACGTATACACCAAACAAGCTACACACACACATATACACCAAAGACATAGACACAGACCACACACACACCACACACACAAGTACATGCACCAAACACACAGACACACACCACACACATATATACACCAAACACACAGACACACCCCACACACACGTGTATACACCAAACATGCAGACACAAACCACACACACACATGTATGCACCAAAGACACAGACACACACCACACACACACATATACACCAAACACACAGACACACACCACACACACATCCCAAAGACACAGATATGTATACACACATCCCCCACTGTATAAACTCCTTTAAAAATATAGAGAGAGAAATTTTTTGCTAACATTTCTAAGATTGAACATTTCCTACCAAATCCTGGCACACGTTATTCTATACCAGGAAACCGTCCCTCTGTGTGTCACAGTGACAGGTAACATTACAATAACTAGACGGGGGAGGGTTCAGACACCCCTTTCTCCAGCCCATTGTGGGCTGTGTCTCTGTGAGTTCGGTGACCCCTGGGGAGCGGGTTCAATGGGAGGGCGAGGACTCCTGGGTTCTCGGCAGACACACCCTGACAGCTCGGAGCCAAGATGCCTGGTTTGAAGTTGGCTTTGAGACGGGACCTTGCATTGTCGTGGCCTAGGGTGTCCAGTCACCTGAGCAGGACGGCCCTTCCTCCTGCAGCAGGCGCTGCGACCGTCCAGGCATGGAGAGAAGCTGCTTGAGTCCTGACTCAGGACTGGGAGGTTTGGGGAGCCACCCAGGAGCAGCAGGTGAGCAATGGGGGAGAGCATCGGTGAGCAGAGCCCAAGCCCGGGGGTTTCAGAGCCCCTAGCTGGGAGCCGAGGCAGCAGCATGGGCCACTGGTCAGGACAAAGCTCAGGAAAGTCCGAGACCCTGCAAGGAGACTATCCAGTTTCTAAAGGGACCCAGGGGCGCAGAGTGCGTTACCACAGCAGAGAACAGGAGCCGACGGTGCCCTGGGTAGAGCTGGGCCCCAGACCCTCCCAGCTGGGGGAAGCTCTTCTGTCCGGCCCCGTCTAAGCTGGCTGCCACCTAAGTGACGTCAAAGTGTTTAGAGATAACGAAGGTCTTACCTGGGGGTCCCCGCTGTGCTCATCATTCCTTAGAGGCCCCTCCACCTACAGAACTCCGTCCAACTCACTCATCGGCACCTGCAGGCCTCTCAGCCCCAAGGCCTCAGGACACCACTCCTGACTCGAGGGCAGCTGGCAGCCACTGGCCCTGCCCTGGCCCTGGACTCACACATCCTCCTGCCTGCGCCTGGGCTGCCCCCCTCCCGGGGCTTGGTGTCCCTTAAGACCAGCTCAGACTCCACTCCCTGTCTGACCCTGGGCTCCTGCACGGTTCATTCACTAGCCATTGTTTGACGTGCACAGGGCTCCTGGAGGGTAGGTGTGCTGCGCTCATCTGGGCCTCTGGCCCCTGACCCCAACTGGCCTGGGTGGTATCTGTCCTCAGGAGACCTGTAGTTTTGAGAAAAGAATCTCTCAAAATCAGAAAACTCTTCCAGGGGCCAGCCCAGTGGTGCAGCAGTTAAGTGCGCACATTCCGCTTTGACAGCCCGGGGTTCGCCAGTTCGAATCCCAGGTGCGGATATGGCACCGCTCGTCACACCATGCTGTGGTAGGCATCCCACATATTAAAATAAGTAGAGGAAGATGGGCACGGATGTTAGCTCAGGGCCAGTCTTCCTCAGAAAAATGAGGAGGAATGGCAGCTGTTAGCTCAGGGCTAATCTTCCTCAAAAAAAAAAAAAACCTCTTCCAGAGCCAGTGAAGTAAGTCAGACCTATGCGCGGTTGCAGCGTCTGCGCCACGCGGTACAGAGAATTGGCACTGCGGGAATTCAAAGG